GCAATTTAATTGCACAGGGAAGATTACCCATCTTTCTCCCGTAGAGCAGCTGGTAGATTTGAACTACATGCCTTTGTCCTTTCAACAAAGGTGTGTTTGAAGAGTGTTGGTCACTTACTTGGTGGCAGGCCAAAGAGAAGTTCAGAACTTTAATAGTTCTGAGCACAGAAAAAAGAACTCCAAAACACTTCGATGTGTCCCTTACCGCTACACAGGCAGGTCTCAGAGCGATTGTGGGGTTAGGCTTGGACCACCACAATAAAGCAAATATCACAATAAATCAACTCTTGGGATAGATTTAGCCTTCTGGTGCATGTTAAAGTTACCTTCACACTATACCACGGTCTGTTAAGGGCCTCTGGTGACATGGCATATTTCGTGTCACACTGCTGACCAAAAGGCCAGTGGTTTGAATCCATCAGCTGCTCTATGAGAGAAGCAACTCACAGAGACTTACAGATTTACAGCCTCAAAAACCTAAGAAACGTCATGATGAGGTGAAGTCAGCTTGGTGACAGCAGGTGTAGCGTGTAGTAGTGTCATGAAAAAGTTTGCAATGTTATGAGAATTACAAAAATGTGACACAAAGACCCAAAATGAGCACATGCTAGTGAAAAAATGACAATATTTGTCATGGCCAGTTTTGTCGAACACAGGGTTGCCACAGACCTTCAATTTGTTAAAGAAAAGGTCATTATCTGCAAAGAGCAATATAGTGAGGGATGTCTGTATATAATTAGAAGTAAAACAATATCAAGTCCTAAAATAAGGCTTATTTTAAAGTACAGGGGGTTAGGTGCTCTACTACTAACTGAAAGGTTGGTGGTTCAAATCCATCCAGAGCGCCTCAGACCTAGAAATCTGCTTTTGAACGTTCACAGCCTTGAAAATTCTATGGAGTGGTTCTACTCTTCACATGTGGGGTCTCCTGAGTGAAGATTGACTTGATGGCAACAAGAGTAAAAACATAAACTAAGCGTAAGGAAGAAAAGGGGAACCCCACAGCAGGTGCTGAGAGTCCATGGTGCAGGTGGGGAAGAAGAACAAGGCGGGGACAGCCCTGTCCAGGCCCCAAGTGGGAAGATGACAGAAGTCTCCCCTCAGAGAGCTGAGACAAACAGATGGACAGATGAACAGACACCTGCAGTCCATGCTGTGATGGAGGGATGTGCAGGGTATGGTGGAAACACAAAGAAGAAAATTTCACCCAGATAGGTAGCAGCAGGGAGCTCTGGTGGCCTAGTGGCAAGAAGCTGCACTGCACTCCTGAAGGCAAGCAGTTCGAGGCCACCACCTGCTCTGTGGGAGAAGGATGGGCAATCTCTTTCCGTGTGAATAACTGCCTCTGAAAACCCAGTGGAGGGTCAGCTACGGGTCAGTTCTTACGCAATGGTACACAACAACAACAACAACAACAGGGGCACGGCAGAGGTTGGGGGTTGGGGATAGGCACGCAGGTACAGCTTACCAGAGGGTAACCCCAAGCCAGTCCTCAAGGGTGAGTAGAAGGGAGTGGTCAGGTGAAGTACCCTGGGGTGGCTGTTTCAGACTCTTACGAAGAATCTGAGCAAGATTATGATTTGAAGCTTCCTTTAGTTTATAGATAATGGAATGAGTAGCTCCCAACAACTAGGAAATGGGTTCCCCACCCTCCTCCACACCCCAACAAAGACAGACCAGGGATTTATACTGATTACAGAAAATAGGCAGTGAACCCACACAAAGATCCCCACCCCACAGTACTTTGAGGTTGCAGCTAATCATTAATTTTATCATATGATCAAGTCTAATAAGAAATAATATGTGGAGTAATTAAAATTTAAGTTTCTGGGAAGAAGCAGTGAGTTTGAACACCAATTTAGAACATCAGAGCACACACGTAGGTTAGAGCTGTATGTAAGCAGAAAGTAGTAATATTTGTGCAAGTTAATTTGTCCAAGCCTAGGTTCCAGAGATTCTGGAAAAGAAAGAAAAGATTTAATAAGGTAGAGGAATAGAATGAGCTAGAACTTGGAGGAGATGACTTTGTTGAAATTGCATTGCTACTCATGCGTTACCTTTGATGAAACTGAGTGAAAGACGATGGAGCTTACTGACGAATCCGATGTCCCATTAAAGAGACAACTGGGCCCCAGAGAGATGGGACTGTGTGTGTGTGATGTGTCCAAGGCCCCCTCATTTCTGCTACAGGGCACCTTGCAGCTCTGGGCTCTAGACCTTTCCACTGATATACCTCCATGTCTGTGAGTAACCCAGCACTGGTGGGCTTTGCAGTCAGGGAGGCCAGGGTTCAAGTTTCAGTTGTGGC